TGTGTTGCAATGGGGCCCTGGAGCTTCAGTGTGTGTGTGTGTGTGTGTGTGTTGCAATGGGGCTCTGGAGCTTCAGTGTGTGTGTGTTTGTGTGTGTTGCAATGGGGCCCTGGAGCTTCAGTGTGTGTGTGTGTGCGTGTGTGTTGCAATGGGGCTCTGGAGCTTCAGTGTGTGTGTGTTTGTGTGTGTTGCAATGGGGCCCTGGAGCTTCAGAGTGTGTGTGTGTGTGTGTGTGTGTTGAAATGGGGCCCTGAAGGAGGACTGGGAGGAACAAGGATGAACAATGTGCCCTCAGCTCTTTGACACACTGAAAGATGCGCAGACGGAAACCTCATTGGACGACCTTTCTTGCCTCAGTCGTTAAGTGAGTCACTGCAGCTGGTAAGTTAGCCGCCCAGTTGTTAAGTGAATCCGGCTTCCCTGTGCTTGTCAGAAGGTCGCAAAAGGGGGACACAGGAACCCGGGACGCTGCGACCGTCGTAAATGTGAACCAGTTGCCAAGCGTCCCAATTTTGATCTCGTGACCGAAAGGGGAGGCTGCAACGGTCGTAAGTGTCCAAAACAGTCATGAGTCGCTTTTTTCAGTGCTGTTGTAACTCTGAACGGTACACTAAACGAAACAGTTGTAAGTTGAGGATTACCTGTAGAGTGAATCTCTTGGCTGAGGTTTAAGGGAAAACCCGTATGGCAGTTTTTGCATCGAACGAGGCCTCTCTTGCAGAGTTACCCATTGAGTAACTTTGTAGTTCAATGTCTACGGAGCCCCCCATCACTCCGGTCGGGGGTCCCCAATCTCTGGTCCAGTTCTGAGCAGCAGCCTGCCAAAAACCAGGGCGCATAAGCGGTGGGCAAGCGCGTGTGTGCAAAACTCCATTTGTACAAGCGGTGGGCACACGCGCGAAACCGCCCCCTCTCCTCCCCCCTGCCGCCACTGCTGCTGCCGGGGGACCCCTGACCCAGGTCACGGCTGTCCCAAAGGGGCTTTTTCTAAAAGACAACTGGACGTTCTTGGGGGTTTTTTTCTTTGAAAACTTTTTACTTCTCATCCAAGCAGCTTCTTCAATTCTCAAAGTTCAGCTTTCAAAGTTCAGTTCAGCCTCTTGAACGGCAAGAAGCGGAATGTTTTTGAGGAGACCTGTGAGAAAGTCCAGCTCCCTTTGGAAAAAGCGCCTTTGGCTGAATCCAGAAAATGGGTTTATTCAGCAACCAATTGCAGCCGGTTGTGGTGGGGAGAACTCAACTTTCTTTCTTTTTCCGGACGTTTCGCTTCTCATCCAAGAGGCTTCTTCAGTTCTGACTGAATGGTGGGGAATGGAATAATAATAATAATAATAATAATAATAATAATAATTAATAATTAATAATAATAATAATGGCTGTGCGATGATCCATAATAATAATAATAATAATAATAATAATAATAATAATAATAATGGCTGACTATACGATGATCCATAATAATAATAATAATAATAATAATAATAATAATAATAATAATAATAATAATAATAATAATAATAATAATAATAATAATAATAATAAAGTTGGAAGGGACCTTGGAGGTCATCTAGTCCAACCCCCTGCTCAGGCAGGAAACCCTAGACCATTTCAGACAAATGGCTGTCCAGTCTCTTCTTAAAAACCTCCAGTGTTGGAGCATTCACCGCTTCTGGAGGCAGGTTGTTCCACTGGTTAATTGTCCTCACAGTCAGGAAGTTTCTCCTTAGTTCTAAGTTGCTTCTCTCCTTGATGAGTTTCCACCCGTTGCTTCTTGTCCTGCCTTCAGGGGCTTTGGAGAATAGCTTGACTCCCTCTTCTTTGGGGCAGCCCCTGAGATACTGGAAGGATTCATATTCCTTGCAGTCATCTGGGTATTTGCACTCTTCCTGAGAGCGCTCCTTCCATTCAACCCCTCCCCTATTCAGCCAGAACTGAAGAAGCTTCTTAGATGAGAAGTGAAATGTCTTCAAGGAAAAACCAAGGATGTCCAGCTGCCTTTTGGGGGGGGAAAAAGCACCTTTGGGACCACCATGAACTGGTGATGGGGAATCTCCCATGGACAATTAGGGACGGAGGCCGTGGCTGGTGGCTGGGATGTAAGGCTGATCTCCAGCGTGGGAAAGTGGCACAGCGCTGTGGCTCAGAGGCGCTCATGGCCGGAGCCCCAGGGACGCTTCTCCGCAGGGGCTGGGTGGGCGTCTGCTGAGAAGGTCCCCTGGGGTTGCTGACCTTCTCCCAGCAGGTGTGGGGCTCCTTTATGGCTCTCTGTAGCTCCTCGAAGCCGCTGGCTATGGGGGGGGGGCGTCTCCAAGAAAAGGAAGCACCCCACATCAGGAGATCAGCCCATTCCACGGAAGACACAGACGTGGAGGCTTTTTTTCTTTTGTGCTCAGATAGGAGAGAGAATTTCAATTGCGTAGGCGATTTTGTGAGTTTGGAGGGGCTGGCCCGGGGGTGGGAGTGGGGGGGG